GACAACCTAAATGACAGGAATCACCACATACCTATCAGTACTAACCGCTTATGTTAATTGGGACTTAATCCTCACCCCATAAAAACGGCACCGCTCGATGAAATGGATTAAAAAGGAAGTATCCAACAAATTTTGTTGCGTTAAGGAGACCCATTCCACCAACCAGAAAATAAGCATAGGCTTAGGATGAAAGGCTGAAGAAGATTTACCAAGCCAATGGCCCCAAAACAGGCAGGAGTAGCAATACTTATCTCTGACAAAGTAGACTTCAAACCTACATTGATCAAATGAGATAAAGAAGGACATTCCACTAAAATAAAGGGGAAAAGACCAAAAGGAAACTATAATTATCAACCTATATGCACCCAATGTCACCAACCCAATTTCATCAAACATACCCTGAAAGACCTAAAAGCATTATATTAACTCCACACAGTGGTTGTGGGAGACTTTAACACCCCATTATCATCAATAGGTCATCCAAACAAAAATCAATTAAAGAAATCAAGATCTAAAATATGCAATAGATAAATGGACTACTTGATGTCTACAGAACATTTCATCAACATTCTACACAATATACATTCTTCAGCAAGCCCATGGAACCTTCTCCAAAATAGATCATATCCTAGGGCACAAAAAGCAAGCCTCAGCAAATATAAGAAAATAAATTATACCCTGCATAACTACTGATCAATGCATAAAACTAGAACTCAACAACAAAAGTAAAGACAAAAAACATGCAAACAGCTGGAAACTAAATAACTCATTACTTAATGAAGTGGGTCATTGATGAAATAAAAGAGGAAATTAAAAAGTTCCTGGAAGTCAATGAAAATGAAAACACAACCTAACCGGAACCTATGGGACACAGCAAAGGCAGTCCTAGAGGAAAGTTTATAGCCATGAGTGCATATAAAAAGACTGAAAGACCAATCAAATCAATGACCTAATGATACATCTCAAACTCCTAGAAAAAAAGAACAAGCAATCCCAAACAAATAGAAGGAGAGAATAATAAAAATAAGAGAGCTGAAATCAACGAAATAAGAAAACCAAAAAAAACCATACAAAGAATTAATGAAAAAAAAGTTTTCTTTTGAAAAAATAAAAAGATCGACAGACCCCTGGCACCAACTGAAAATGAGAGAAAAAACCCAAATTAGTAGAATCAGGAATGCAAAAGGGGAGATAACAACAAACACCATGGAAGTCCAGGAAATCATCAGAGACTACTTGAGAACCTATATTCAAATATTTTGAAAATCTAAAGAAATGGACAGATTTCTAGATACATATGATCATCCAAAACTGAACCAAGAGGAAATTAATCACCTGAATAGATTATAACACAAAATGAAATTGAAGCAGCAATCAAGAGTCTCCCCAAAAAGAAAAGTCCAGGACCTGATGGATTCTCTGCTGAATTCTATCAGACCTTTAAAGAAGACTGATACCAAACCCTCCTTAAACTTTCCATGAAATAGAAAGGGAAGGAAAACTGCCAAACACATTTTATGAAGCCAGTATTACACTTTATCCCAAAACCAGGCAAAGACACCTCCAAAAAGGGAACTATAGGCCAATCTCCTTAATGAAATTGACACAAAAATCCTCAACAAATAATGGCAAACCGAATCAACAAACACATCAAAAAGATTATTCACCAGACCAAGTAGGCTTCATCCCAGGAATGCAGTGGTTCAACATACGAAAATCAATAAACGTAATAAACCACATTAACAGAAGCAAAGACACAAAACCACTTGATCATCTCAATAGATGCAGAAAAAGCCTTTGATAAGATCCAACACCATTTCATGATAAAAGCTCTAAGAAAACTAGGAATAGAAGGAAAAGTACCTCAACATTATAAAAGCTATATATGACAAACCTACAGCCAGCATTATACTTAATGGAGAAAAACTGAAACCATTCCCTCTAAAATCAGGAACCAGACAAGGATGCCCACTATCTCCACTCCTATTCAACATAGTACTGGAATTCCTAGCCAGAGCAATTAGGCAAGAAGAAGGAATAAAAAGGAATACAAATAGGTAAAGAAACTGTCAAAATATCCCTATTTGCAGACAACATGATCCTATACCTTAAAGACCCAAAAAACTCTACTCAGAAGCTTCTAGACATCATCAATAGCTCTAGCAAGGTACCAGGATATAAAATCAACATAGAAAAATCATTAGCATTTCTATACACTAACAATGAGCAAACTGAAAAAGAATGTATGAAAACAATTCCATTTACAATAGCCTCAAAAAAAATCAAATACCTAGGTGTAAACCTAACAAAAGATATGAAAGACCTCTACAAGGAAAACTATAAAGTTCTGAAGAAAGAGATTGAGGAAGACTATAGAAAGTGGCGAGATCTCCCATGCTCATGGATTGGTAGAATCAACATAGTAAAAATGTCTGTACTCCCAAAAGTAATCGACATGTTTAATGCAATTCCCCTCAAAATTTCAATGACATTCATTAAAGAGATTGAAAAATCTAACGTGAAAGTTATATGGAAACACAAGAGGCCACGAATAGCCAAGGCAATACTCAGTCAAAAGAACAATGCTGGAGGTATCACGATACCTGACTTAAAGCTATATTACAAAGCACCATAAATACATAAAAACAGCATGGTACTGGCGAGAAAAAACAGACATGAAGACCAGTGGAACAGAATAGAGGGACTCAGATATGAAGCCACACAACTATAACCAACTTGTCTTTGACAAAGGTATTAAAAATATACGATGGAGAAAAGACAGCAATCACTGCTGGGAAAACTGGTTAGCAGTCCGCAAAAAAGTGAAACTAGATCCATGTATATCACCCTATACCAATATTAACTCAAAATGGATCAAGGATCTTAATATCAGATTGCAAACTCTAAAGCTGATACAGGAAAGAGTAGGAAATGCTCCGGAGTTAGTAAGTACAGGTAAGAGCTTTCTCAATGGAACCCCAGCAGCACAGCAACTAAGACATAGCATAGATAAATGGGACCTCATAAAACTAAAAAGACTTCTGTCATCAAAAGGAAATGGTCTCTAAAACTGAAGAGACACTCCACAGGTGGGAGAAAATATTTGCCAGCTACACATCAGACAAAGGAACTATAACCATAATATATAGGGAACTTAAAGAACTAAATTCTCCCAAAACTAATGAGCCAAATAAAGAAATGGGCAAGTTGAACTAAACAGAACCTTTCTCAAAAGAAGAAATTCAAATGGCCAAAAAACACATGAAAAAATGCTCACCATCCTCTAGCAATAAAGGAAATGCAAATTAAAACCCACACTAAGATTCCACCTCACCCCTGTTAGAATAGCCATCAATTAAGCAAAAACCACCCATCAACAGGTGTTGGCAAGGATGCGGAGAAAAAGGAACCCTTTTAACACTGCTTGGTGGAATGCAAAACTAGTACAACCACTCTGGAAAAAAATTTGGAGGCTACTTAAAAAGCTAAACATTGATCTACCTTATGATCCAGCAATACCACTCTTGGTTATATACCCAAAAGACTGTGACACAGGTTACTCCAGAGGCACTTGTACACCCATGTTTATTGCAGCACTATTCATTTTTTTCTTTTATTATTCATATGTGCATACAAGGCTTGGTTCATTTCTCCCCCCTCCCCACCCCCTCCCTTACCACCCACTCCCCCCCTCTCTCCCCCCCTCAATACCCAGCAGAAACTATTTTGCCTTTATTCTAATTTTGTTGTAGAGAGAGTATAAGCAATAATAGGAAGGAACAAGGGTTTTTGCTGGTTGAGATAAGGATAGCTATACAGGGCATTGACTCACATTGATTTCCTGTGCGTGGGTGTTACCTTCTAGGTTAATTCTTCTTGAACTAACCTTTTCTCTAGTTCCTGGTCCCCTTTTCCTATTGGCCTCAGTTGCTTTTAAGGTATCTGCTTTAGTTTCTCTGCGTTAAGGGCAACAAATGCTAGCTATTTTTTAGGTGTCTTACCTATCCTCACCCCTCCCTTGTGTGCTCTCGCTTTTATCATGTGCTCAAGTCCAATCCCCTTGTTGTGTTTGCCCTTGATCTAATGTCCACATATGAGGGAGAACATACGATTTTTGGTCTTTTGGGCCAGGCTAACCTCACTCAGAATGATGTTCTCCAATTCCATCCATTTACCAGCGAATGATAACATTTCGTTCTTCTTCATGGCTGCATAAAATTCCATTGTGTATAGATACCACATTTTCTTAATCCATTCGTCAGTGGGGCATCTTGGCTGTTTCCATAACTTGGCTATTGTGAATAGTGCCGCAATAAACATGGGTGTGCCGGTGCCTCTGGAGTAACAGTCTTTTGGGTATATCCCCAAGAGTGGTATTGCTGGATCAAATGGTAGATCAATGTCTAGCTTTTTAAGTAGCCTCCAAATTTTTTTCCAGAGTGGTTGTACTAGTCTACATTCCCACCAACAGTGTAAGAGGGTTCCTTTTTCCCCGCATCCTCGCCAACACCTGTTGTTGGTGGTGTTGCTGATGATGGCTATTCTAACAGGGGTGAGGTGGAATCTTAGCATGGTTTTAATTTGCATTTCCTTTATTGCTAGAGATGGTGAGCATTTTTTCATGTGTTTTCTGGCCATTTGAATTTCTTCTTTTGAGAAAGTTCTGTTTAGTTCACTTGCCCATTTATTGGTTCATTAGTTTTGGGAGAATTTAGTTTTTTAAGTTCCCTATATATTCTGGTTATCAGTCCTTTCTCTGATGTATAGTTGGCAAATATTTTCTCCCACTCTGTGGGTGTTCTCTTCAGTTTAGAGACCATTTCTTTTGATGAACAGAAGCTTTTTAGTTTTATGAGGTCCCATTTATCTAACAGCACTATTCATAATAGCCAAGTTATGGAAACAGCTAAGATGCCCCACTATTGACAAATGGATCAAGAAAACGTGGTATTTATACACACTGGAATTTAATGCAGCCATGAAGAAGAACGAAATGCTATCATTCGCTGGTAAATGGATGGAATTGGAGAACATCATTCTGAGTGAGGTTAGCCTGGCCCAAAAGACCAAAAATCATATGTTCTCCCTCATATGTGGACATTAGATCAAGGGCAAACACAACAAGGGGATTGGACTATGAGCACATGATAAAAGCGAGAGCACACAAGGGAGGGGTGAGGATAGGTAAGACACCGAAAAAATTAGCATTTGTTGCCCTCAATGCAGAGAAACTAAAGCAGACACTTGAAAAGCAAGTATGGCCAAAAGGAGAAGGGGACCAGGAACTAGAGAAAAGGTTAGATCAAAAAGAATTAACCTAGAAGGTCACACACCTTCTAGACAGGGGGGAGAAATAACATATGAATAATAAAACAATAAAAATAAAATAAAAAAAACCCGCCATACCTAAAAAAATAATAAATAATAAATAAAAATACTCTCTCCATGTATCCTTGCAATGCGTTTTCATTCTTTCAAATTCCACAGATGTTATTTTTAATTTTTGTGATCAATGTTTGGTTAATCCATAAATTTATTAACGTCTATGTTCTTCAATGCTTGTCCTATCTTTAATCTGTTGTCTTTAAGATTATTTTTTAGAAATTGGTATATAGCTGTAAATTAGTTTACCTACTAATGGTTAACTCTCAACAACTTTCTTTGAAATGACTACTACTTTCCTTTATTCTTCAAATCATATTTTTCTCTGTGAGACGTAATTTATGCATACGATTTTCTCTTGGCATAATGAAGATATTCCTCTGAATTCTGGCTGTTATTTCTGTTACTCTGCAGTCAGATGTCAGTATAAATGTGGCTTGATGGTCATCAGTCTCTTCTTCCTAGCTATGCTAAGATTTCTCCTTCTTTCCTGCACCACGGTACAGGTGGGCGTGTTTTTCTTTAAAAATTACATTGCTTAGGATACATTGAGATTCTTGAATCTATAGAATGTCATCTTCTATCACTTCTAGAGTGTTCTTAGCCATATCTCTCTTTAAATAATTGCCTCTCATCCATTTCTCTGTCATGTTAGATCTTCAGTGTAACATTTTCTCGCTATCCTCTGGTCTTTTAAACATTCTCTTGTTTTCCATTTCTTTGTTTCTCTTGGATATATTATAGAAGTTTTGCTGTTTTTCCAACTTACTACTTTGTCCTATAAGGTCTTTGGTTCTTTTTCAAATCTGCTTAATTTCATGCCTCTGTTATTTCTTGAAAGCTATAAAATTGCGTGTGCTTTTTTTTCACCTTTCTAGTATCTAAAGCTTTTTAAGATCTTACTCTGTTTTTGATGGCTCATATTTTGTCTTGTTTATTGTTGTTTTAATGACTTTTCACTCTGAATTGACACTTTTTCTTTGAACTCTTTGAGTTCAGTTGGTTCTTTCAGAAAGATTTGAACATTTGGACCAATCAATGTCCTAATGTGGGAACATCTTGAACTAAATTTTCAACTTGATTTCTTTTAGGCTACCCAGATACTGTAAACTTAGGATGCATATATGTGTGTATCTGTCTATCTATATCTATCATCTATCTATCTATCTATCTATCTATCTATCTATCTATCTATCTATCTATCTATCTATCTACCTACCTACCTATCTATCTAACTATCTAAAAGCTAGTCTTTGGTCATAAAGTCTCAGCAGAATTTTTTCCTTTATCATTATTAGCAGGGTTCTAGACAGATGGTTTTCATTGTAAGCCTCTTAAAGGGGGCCCAACTCACCCATACTGAGAGAGTGGTCATTGGGGGGACTCAGTTTTAAGAGGTGATCTCTATTAGACTTCTCACTTTGGAAGGCCCTCATTATGCCTTTTCTAATCCAAGTCTCTAGAGACTGAAACCACGATCAACTTCTGCAGGTTCAGAAAACACCCTCAAGGAGAAAATATGGCTATGGTATTTTGTCAATTTTTTATTTTATTTAAACTTTTTATCAGTGCAAATTAATTGTACAAATAGTGTGTTCCATTATCTTTCTGTTCATGCATGTAATATCCTTTGGTGACATTCACCCCTCTGTTTTCTTCTCCCATCCTCCCTCCTTTCCCTCTTCTACTAGTATTTTTTTAAATACCACCAATATTCTTTTTCTTAGTCTTTGATTTGAACAATTCTTGCTTTCTTGTCAGTTAATGAATGAATACAAGAATATGAAAATATTTTTATAGTTGTTTGTATCAGAAGAGGTTGGTCCTGGTATCCAGTCTACTAAGTTGCCAGACATGGAAGTTAATATATCCTTCTATAGGTAGATCAAGCAGTTGCTTTAAGTTTTTTTCCTTTTTGGAATACCAAAAATTATTTCATGGTTATTATATCAAGTGGCAAAGCTAATCATTTCTTTCTGAACTACTCCAATCTCACCCCCACAGAAGTAACCACTGGTAACATTTCACTTCATTTGCATGTACATGCATAGATTAATATATGCAGACAAGCAGAGATTTTATTTTTTTAATTTTTAATTTTTTTTATTTTTATTTACTCATTTACTTTTTATTATTCATATGTGCATACAATGCTTGGGTCATTTCTTCCCCTTCCCCCCACCCCCTCCCTTACACCCGCCCCACCCCCTCCCTCCCCCCCACCCCCTCCCTTACACCCGCCCCACCCCCTCCCTTCCCCCCCACCCCCTTGATACCCAGCAGAAACTATTTTGCCCTTATCTCTAATTTTGTTGAAGAGATAGTATAAGCAATAATAGGAAGGAACAAGGGTTTTTGCTAGTTGAGATAAGGATATCTATACAGGGAGTCTACTCACATTAATTTCCTGTGCATGTGTGTTTCCTTCTAGGTTAATTCTTCTTGATCTAACCTTTTCTCTAGTTCCTGGTCCCCTTCTCTTATTGGCCTCAGTTGCTTTTAAGGTATCTGCTTTAGTTTCTCAAGCAGAGGTTTTAAAATAAGGAATCATAGTATTAAGTTGTGTTAATATACAACTTGCTTTCTTATGTGTTTTTATCACATAAATCGGTAATTATGGATCTATCTCTGCCCTCTTTTTCTAATTCAAATTTTTGGCAGTATTAACATCCTGGTTTGATTCTTTACATTTTGGTAGGTTTCTTGTATGCATTCTCATAAAGTGGTTGTTAGCGACTTGCTGAGGTGTAACTCAGAATATCTGTTCCCTCATGGTTCTTTATGGTGTGATCTTTCAAAAAAAAAAATCACATCACCTCTTTTAGCCATAGGTCCCAATGGTATAAAATGGAAATAATAATTTTAATAATCTTTATTATTGCAAAAGCTTTCCCTGAGGATTATTGAGTTAATAAATATTAAAATGTTTTACTTTGGGAAACCATCATGGCTCATCTCTAGTCACTGAAATGGAAAGGTCTCTAACCAAAGAAACTTTCAGCACATGGAGAGGTAGGCTCAGAAATGGATCTTTTCTTATAAGATGACCAGGCATACATGATAGTATGCATAGAGTCCTATAGTATCCCAGAGGACAAATACCTGGTTCAGCTGAATAGCAGCTGAATAGCAAGGTCTAAGCATGTTAAAGATTTTTAGAACCAATGCTTGTGTTGAATATTTAAAAATAAGTTGAGCATGGCAGTTCTATGAATGTTATTCTCAGTATTGATATACCTGTTTCTTTCCCTTTTAGGACAGCTGATTTACCAAGTTCAATCACCTGATGAAGGGGCTTTAGTGACTGCTGCTAGAAACTTGGGATTCATTTTTAAGTCTCGGACCCCAGAGACGATAACAATAGAAGAATTGGGAACGCTTGTTACTTATCAATTGCTTGCCTTTTTGGATTTCAACAATATCCGAAAAAGGATGTCTGTCATAGGTATGATTGGTAGTTCAGATTATTTTTGATCATTGGATAGTACTGTGATTATATTGCTGCTTTGCAGGGGTTGTTTTACTCTTGGCTGTGTGCTAAAAGTTGTGATACTTTTTGTACTTTGTGAACTCTTGTGATCCTCAACTTTAATTCAAAACTGCATTAATGTGTGGCTAACATTAATAAGGGCTGATTGTTATTATATTGTGTCCAGCATTGTTCTTAATTCTCTACCTGAAAGAACCAATATGTCACACAACACTAACAAAGTAGGTGCTATTTCACAGGTAATGAGACTGAGACATGGAGAGGTGGCATAACATGCTCAAGGTTGCATAGCTTGAAGTGACGTAGTTGGAGGTTCATAGCTAGGAAGTCTGACTCAGAACCCTTTCCTTTCATCACTGCACAGTACTGGTTCAGGATAAGTTTCTGAGTTGCATGGCATTTTCCAGTTGTTGGGAATATCATCAGTATCCTTCTCGTATCATTCATTTTCTCTGTTCACCACTGTTGCTGGAGAGGATCACCTAATATTTTATTTAGCACCACAGCAAACCCATGCTTTCCTAATTCAGTGCTAGCCCTCAGTGCTGTTTCAATGCCCTCATGAAGTCTCAGAAAGACAAACTGTTAACATAATCTCCCCCCCATCTCCTCCTTCATCTCTAAGTGATATCTTACTTGTTCTCATTCCTGATAGAGGAAAAATACTGTTATTCCCTTTCAAAGCTGAAGGTTCTTCCTGTTTCCATTCCCTACCCACCTTTGCTTGTACTTTGGATTTCTCCTTCAACAGTGGCTCCTTATTTCATCCCACAACTCCACCATCATACTATTTCCTTAAAGATACCATTGATATTGTGATGTCTACTGATTTTGCCGGCCCATTTTTACACTTTCCATCACAGATGAATTTCTAAGGTCAGATTTTGTCCCTTGCCATTCTCACTGTTTACTTTTGCACTATCATTAAAAATGTTCCCTTTAAAATAATTGCCTCTGCAGACTCTAGGGTACTCTTTCTAAAACACAGACCTAATTTTGCTACTGCTTAAAAGAATTGATTACTTCCCAGATTTTAAAGTATAAAGTTCTTAGGTGACATGCAGGATTATTTGCAATCTGACATTGAGTCAATTTACTTTTCTTTCTTTTTTTTTTTTTTTTGGCAGTACTGGGTTTTGAACTCAGGGCCTCATGCTTGCAAGCCAGGCATGCTACCACTTGAGCCACACTTCCAGCCCTATTTCTTAAACTGAGCCATAGCCTCACTAGAACTCACTATTCCTGGGATGCATTATATTCTTTTATACCCTTTACACATGCTGTTCCTGCTATCTAGGACAGTCCCTTTTCCCTACTTCTCTCTTTTTTTTTTTTTTTGAAAAACTCCTACTCATCAGGTAATGTTCAATTTAAAATGTCATTTGTTTTCTCTTTTCCCATTTTCCAAATAAATGCACCCTCCTGTGTTTCCCAGAGTGCTTTGTACAAAACACTGGTGGGATGCCCATCCCTTGGGACTCATGATTTTTCCAGACAATAGATAGGGTGCTCTCTTAGGGCACGTGCGGTGCCTTAGTCTTCTTATATTGCTCAAGGACAAGCACCCCTCTTGGCACACAACAGATTCTCTATAAATATTTGTTAAATAAAATTCAATCCAGTACTTATGAATACCCAAATTATTGCATTAAATAAATATCTAGTGTGGAAAACGTGTATATATAAGGCTAGGCTTTTCAGTCTCAACTGGAAGCTAGTCCTGAATGATTGCTCTCAGCAGGTAAAAGCCAAACAGCATCTGAGAATGTTTGTTTTTGTCTTTGATGACAACAGGCCATAAGCAGTCCTCATTTGCGGAGGAGCACATGTCTGCTCTAGGTGTTGGCTTAGCGCCACATCAGCAGTAGCTGTCTTCTCTGTCCATCCTCAGGGGAGGCCTCATCATGCTCACTTGGCCCAGAATTGATTTCTCTTTGCTCTGAGGGTGTTGACAAAAATCTAAGATTGCTACACAGAGAGGCTTTTGGCTTTTCCTCAGTGTTGGTCACCATTACAGGCTGTGGAGAAATAGCAGCCTAACCGCAGACATCAGATCCCTGACTTAATGGATGCCATATGAAGAAAGGTAATGCTCCACCACAGATGCCTGGTGGCTCACAGACTTCATTTTGGTTCTGTTTGGTTTTTAATCAGGAGGAATTTGAGAGGGACTCTAGTAGGGTAGAAGAGTCTCTGTTGTGCTGATAGCTAGTCTCATGATTGTCACATGGCTGGTCTGTGGGGACAATACCCTGTTGTGAAGGTGCAGACATTTGCTGCTGTTGCTACTCTGCCTCTTCCTCTTCTCATTCCCTCCTCATCTATGCTTTCTTTCTGTCTTTAATACCAGCTTTGCTTTCATTTTGGAGCAAGAGCCTTGATTTAAGCCAGTGGTATCTAAGTAAAAGTTGGTTTCTGTAGAATTTTTTCAGAGGGTACAGAATCTCCTATATTAGCAAATGTGTAATTCTTATTGCATAGTTTTAGAAGGACTGATTGTACTGATTTCATGAATAAATATAGATATAAAATTCCAAGATATTTCTTAGATTTAAGAGGCAGATAATTATTAAAGAAGAATAAATTGCAGTAGCTCCCTAAAAAGTCCTCACAACATCTTTAGCTAAAAATTCAACTATAAGCTTTTCAAATACAGTGTTGGTGGTACTCACCTGTCATCCCAGCACTCAGGAGGCTGAGGCAAGAGATTGTGACTTTGAGGCCAGCCTGGTCCACATAGTAAGACTCTGTCTCAAAACAAAACAAAACAGATTATAAGAGCACAAATCATACTGCTGTGTTACCTGCATTTCTCTTTGTGGATGAATGAGCAACTGGGATATCACAAAGTGGAATCACTAATCACCATTCACAGTGTTGCTGTTGCATCTGTATGGAAGCCACTTCTGACCTTTTTTCCCCTTTATGTCACAAAGGCATAGCTACCACTCTCAGTGAATTTTACATAATATAATTGATCTTAAGCAGCAATTCCTCAAGTACCTATTATGTTCCAAGGACTTGAAGCCAAGGGAGAATGTGAAAAACTGAGGTTCTGTGTGACTGTATCCTGAAAATGTGGAGAAGCAGGGTAGGAAAGGTGGATTTTCATGAGCTCAATTTATGCCATGGTAAGGAGACAGAACTTGACCTAAGGGCAGAGGGGAGATGCCCTTTGATCAGATTTCAGGATTCTAAGCAGCAGTGTGATGAAGATGCTGAGTTTGAAAGGAGGCAGCACTGGAATAATTAAACCAGTTTAATTAGTGTGATAATTTGGGGAAGAGTGAGGGTGGCACAGAGAAATTCATGGCTTCAGTTGGATATATAGGTTGTAGGGAGGGAGAATGATAAGTGATGCCTAATGTTCTGGTTTGGAAGGCTGCATGAATTGGTGACGCTTGTTGCTAAGACTGGGGACATAGGAAGAGCAGCAGATGACTGGAAGAGAATAAATGTATCCAATTGAGTGTGAAGTGTCTGGACATATCTGAGTGATGTTCAGTTGACAGCTGGATGTGTACATCAGAAGGGAGTGCTGGAGATGGTATGGGTTATACATTTGAGATCAGTCAACTTGTCGATGGAAACTGAAGCCATGAACATAAATGCAGTTATCCAGAATTAGTGTGAATGATGGGAAGCGACATAGATCCTGAGTAAATGTCTGAAGAACAGAGTTCTGTTCATTATTTAAAGGATAAGCAAGAGAAGATTTATGACTTAAAAACTACAACCTCTTTCCAGACTCTGGCCATAAGTTATCTTGACCATTTAAAACAATTATGTTCTTTTTAATTTGTTTCAGAAACCTTTGAAATGACTGAGATTTTATTGACCCTGAACAGAAATGACCAGAAGCCTTGGATAAAAAGAGATATAAAACTTGATGAACTTATAAAGAAATATTTACTGAATAAACTTAAGCAGGCTTCCATGAAATTGGATTTGTGTAAACTCAAACTTAAATGGTGAATGCTGGGTTAAAAGAAAGCATCAAATATGGAAAATACATTGAATCTGAAAATTATACAGCAGCAAAGACTTTTGCAGTTACAGGGTTTAAATGTTGCCTTTTTACATACAGAAGCTGAGTTAGAGTATATGGTTCCTCTAGGCCAGTGGTTCCCAATGTGGGTCTGGGGAACCTCGAGATTTTTTCAGAGAATACACAGGACAAGTCTTTTCATTATGGAACTACTGTTGTTTGTCTTTTTACTCTTCTCATGTGTACACTGAGGAGTTTTTCAGAAGCCACATGACGGGTGGGTGATATCTCTACAGAATGAATGCTAAAGCAGACATGAGAATTCGTTTGAGGGGAAAGAAGCTTGTTGTGCTTTGGCAGTAATATTCCTTTAAATAAAACTGTAAATTTTGTATCTCATTAAACCAATAGTGAGATTGGAGATAAAGGGAGTCTAGTAAAGACTATCAGTCCCAAACTTCGGGGATAGGTGAAAAATATAGCACTACTAATAACAGACTTCAAGTGGGAAGTCAAATGGTTTTTAAAGCCCTCTGTGAAGTATGCTTAGGCATGATTCACCCAAGAATGAACCACTAAGAATGAATGGGCTTTTCCAAGGATAAAGGGTGTAAAGAAATCATTCAGGACCAAGAACTAATACATAAACTATGGTTTGAGTGGCGAGAATTCCATATAGAGATTTGGCCTAACATTGATACCAATTTGAGCATAGGTCTTGCATTTCACACCAGGAACTTTCATAAAAAGTTCTCAATTCTGTTCCATACAGAAGACTTAAAATTTTCATTTCTTTAGCAATGATAGGCTAAGAAAACAGGAAGGTCATATGCATCAGAATAAAAACACTTGTTTCTGAGTTTGAGAAATCAAAGGATTCCAGTAGAAAGCATATTTCTAAGTTGGTAAGAAAGAATAAAGTCAAGTAATTTAGGTAGTGACCTCTAACAAAAGGCACTGAGTGTTTTACTCAAGCATTATGCCTATTTCCAAAGCACTGAGTAGAGCCCTGGAAGAGTCTAGTTTTGACAGATTTCATTAATTATAATATGCTTTTCCAAACTTTTTTTTTTCAGTTCGGAACCCAGCTGGGCAGATAAAACTTTATTCCAAAGGAGCAGATACTGTTCTGTTTGAAAAACTTCACCCTTCCAATGAAGAGGACCTTCTGTCTTTGACGTCAGACCATCTCAGTGTAAGTGCCTCATCTTACCATTAACATAATGGCCCCTTTGCCATCTTCTTTAGTTAGAGCTTGTTTAAAGACTATCAGCTGAATGACTTCTGAAATCAAAGGCATCTGGATAGCAGTTCCACAGGGAACTGTGCCAATGAATGTCTAGAAACTGGCACATGATGTCCCCTCCCTGCCTGCTGGAGTCAGGGCAGTTGGTCGCACCACAGGCAGATTAACACAGCAGCTGAAGGAGCCACACAGTGTAGGCTCCTGGAGGAGCTGCCGGACCACCTACAGACATCACTCAAACCCTGTTCCTCTTGGGAGACTGGACACTTCTGGGAAGAGAGTCTGGGGAGTTGCTTTGCCTTTGGCTCTTTTTAAAATTTATTTTATTTTATTGTTTTTGCATTTACTTACATATGTATACATTACTGGGCTACATCCCCTCTTTCCCCTCTTCCTTAGGTTCTGGTGTGTCTGGTACCAATGGACTCTGTTGTGATTACCAATAGACTCTCTTATGATTACTTCTGGGGAATAGTTTAGAGTTGTATTTAGATGGTGAGGAAAAATAGTCTCTGGAGCCAACTTTTCCTCAAGGGTTCTTTTATTCATGTTATAAATTATGATGAGTCCTTTATGTCTTATATAACACTCAACCCATATATTCTAAGGTCTGCATAATTTCTTTCCAAAAGCTTTCTGAAGGGAGTAGAGGCAGTCTTTGCATTTCTCTCTTTTTTTCTCTAAAGAGTAAGGGCCTACGAATTAATATGAATGTTGCTTGGTGTAAGTATTTGTCCAATATTTGTTTGAACTTCCATTTAATCTCATATGAACTTTGGAGGAAAAGAGTCAAAACTCTCATTTTCTCATTTTTTTTCCTTTAACAATTATTGAAGATTCATGTGCTTTGTCTGACCCTATATTTAATGTAAAACATTCCCTTTAAAAAACAGACAAACAAAATATAAAACTATGCCTGACTTTAAGCTTAAAAATGATGGTTTAGTAATATTGGTTACAAACATAGTTATTGTTTTTGTCTTTCCAATAGAGCATTCTTGATTTTCTTTTAATCTCTTCCAGAAGGCTGGCATGGTCTTTTTACTTTTTATTTTTTTTTCTGTAAAAATAACATTGGAATCATAATGATCTGATTTTTGCCATAACTGAAACACCAAGGTTCTGAATTTTCACATAGTCTCCTTTCATACAAAAGTATAGGGAACCTAGTTTGATCTTTTTACATTTCCATGCAAAAGAAAAAAATTTTTTAGGCCAGATCAGTTTGACTTGCTCTTTGCTTCATTCACTTTATTCATTTTGGCTTCTAGATTCTGAGGTTTTTAATTTGTATTTAATGATTGATTTAGAATTGTTTAATGATAGGAAAAGACCTTGCTCAAATGCTCATTTAGGATTAAATTATGTTTCATGCACTAATTAAATAACTTAAATCATCTGTTCCATTTTGTAAGGTCTTCTTAGAGTTGATTCACTGTTGTACAGAACAGAGAGGAAGGCAGTAGTAATGCCCAGTGGGGTTGCAAGCTAAAGGCAAAGAAGTATTTGTGCGAATTAAGAAGACAAAAGATCATTATAAGGCAGTAACTAGATTTTCAGATCAGAAGGGGACCCAGTGGTGGTCTTGGAAGACAGGGCTTGTAAAGTGTGATTGCAATATCCAAAGAGTTACCAACTGCCTGTGTGATAAATTTGCGTAATTTTTCTCATGGCCTCTCTGGGCTAACTCTCCTCCTTGCATTATGCATGGACTTTTCTAATTACCTAATTAAGGTATGTCATGATTTAACTTATACCTGATCATAACTTCTGTCTGTACCACACACCAGAACACAACAGAGAGGACATGTTTAATGCAGTGCCCAAAGGAGCAGTCATGGCTATGAAAATGCTCTGCTTGCCTTGTAGGGGCCATCAAATGACCATCAGAGGCAGAAGGAAAGTGGGAGGGTTTAGCATTTCCCCAGCAAAATCCATGTATGGTTCCAGCTATTTTAACTGTGTGAAACTCTTAGCAGTTACCTATCTCCGATCCCACCTCTCCCCATTACAAGGATGAAGCACCAGAGGTATCATTTGACAGTGTCAGCTTACAGAGCCACTATAGGAAAAGTATTATTTCCTAATATTTGTCAAATTATTAAATACTAACTTCATAGAACACAATTTTCCTTAAAAATGAGTTTTTGAACTAACCTGACTTGATGGTGGCTTCAGAGTTTCAATTTTATTATTAAAGTGAAACTAATTTAGCACAAAGGATAAAATAAAAAGTTTCACAGAGGAATCTAGAAAGTAAAAGTCCCTCCCCGCTTCTAGTCCTGGTTCTCAGAAGCAACCGCTTCTGTTAACTTTTCTTCCTTTCTCTCCTCTAAAGGTTATTATTATAGCCTTAAGTAACATGTTTAAACTCCTGTTACCTGCCTACTTAACATCTACTTAATAATTATTTACTTTTCACTTTTTATTATGGAAATATTCAAGCATATACAAAAGCAAGACTCAGTTACTTGAAGGAAGGCCATAAGACTTTGGTGAGACACCTTCAGTTCTTTGAGAGAGACTTTGAGAGCTCCTCTGAGCATCCTTTTCTCTTCACTGGAAGCCAAGGGCTGTGAAATAGGCTGGGTCTCTGTTTTGGCCAGGAACACTTCCTTCATGCAAGGAAAGGCTGGAAACCAATATATGTTACTTCCAATGGCTATCACAAGTCATGGGTACCATTGATCACCTCTCAACAAGGACACTTAAGCAGGCATTTAGATCTCTTTAAGGGGAGAACTGCCTCCTCTGAAGATTTTAACCTCATAGAAATAAAACACAAAATACGAACATTGTCCCCCACCCCTGTTTTAGGAGACAAAAAATTAGAGTCATGGTGGTCAAGGGGTGCTCTTGGGAAAAAATGAATCTGAGTGGAAAACTTATCACCCGTTATCATGGTAGTTGTTATTTGTGTACTTGTTTTCTACTGGTTCCTAAATCAATGTCTTCTCTGGCAGGAATTTGCAGGGGAAGGCCTTCGAACCTTGGCAATTGCTTACAGAGATCTGGATGATAAGTACTTTAAAGAGTGGCATAAGATGCTTGAAGATGCAAATGCTGCCATAGACAAGAGGGAAGAACAGATATGTGGACTGTATGAAGAAATTGAAAGAGATTTGATGGTATAAATTTAGAAGCGAAAAGGATAATATGTGTTTGGAATAAGCCAGTGGCTACATCATCCTGCACTCAGCAGATCTTTCAGACACTGAATCAAACTTTATATGTTGGCTTTGAGTTTGCCATGTGTGGGCCTAATGTTCCTAGAGATTTGTTTCTATTAGCAGTACCTTATGCAGTTGGAAGTCTTCCAAGAGTCAAAGATAGTAGACTCCCACTTTTTTAGAGCAGGGAAATCTTCTATGAATACTGGGGCTAAAACATTGTGTTATTCAGAGTGTGGTCTATTCTAGAAACCACTCTTCCCAAGGCTCCAGTGGCTGAGGAACTGTCACTGTGAGTACTAAGGAGCATATCCTGTTCATCTTTGGAAGAAAATTGCACAGGAATCTTCACTCCTTATTATGGCATCTTCTAGTTTGCTGATGTAGGGCAGTGACTACTTTTTTGTGCTTACTTTCCTGACTATGAGGTATACAGGCTTTCCTCTGCATATACATGGGAAAGTAGCTGGGGAGTTCTTAAGTCATTAGAAGCCTGAATGGCTTCTGACCATTTCTGCTAAATGTTATTTGAGCAAATCATTTCCTCATGTAAATTGTAACTCTCAGTAACCCTGCCATTAAGTTGGCTTGATTTGGGAACTTCCTTTTGGAGTTCTTGCAGTCTGCTTCTGTACAAGATAGGGTGCTTACCATGTCACTGCACCATCGTTTTTGTCTGCACTTCCTAGACCTTCATACTCTGTGACTGAAAGCCATAGATGTTTCAGATATTGTTTGCATGCATGCATTAACATAACCTATTCTGTTTTCCAATGCAGCTACTAGGTGCCACAGCTATAGAAGATAAGTTACAAGAAGGTGTTATTGAAACGATTACAAGTTTATCATTAGCCAATATTAAGATCTGGGTTCTAACAGGAGACAAACAAGGTGATTTGAAAATGAATGATGATAATGTTTTGACAAACGGGGAGTTGAATTCTACAGTAAAATTTTAATTGAGCAGAAACCTTAACTAATTAGATATTTATCTAGTCTTCCATGTGGGCAAAGGTTGAAATACAATAAAGAAAGCTATTATATTGCAAGAATCTGCTATTTGAAAACAAATGAACAAAGCCAAACTAATTAAATACCCTCCGTAGTGTCCCTGAGGTCAGTAGAGTTTCATTCTACTTGCCTCTTACACCAATAGAAAACAGTGATATTAAAAATATTTAACAATTGGTTAACATGAGCACTGTTCCCAGCCAGGACAGATATTAGCACAGTGCTGAAGTGGGCATTAGCACCTCTGGTTGTTCCTTTAATTTCTTGATGGTAGGTAGGTCTGGGAGGGGTCAAGAATGGTCAGCAGGATTCTGAGAAGGTCAGGGAAACAGCTGTTTATGGAAAGATTTTAGTATTTTAACAATTGCCATAGCTATACCAGTACAACTAGGTTGAATTCCAGGACTGCCCATGCAATGTACAGTGAGAATTGACCTACTTTTAAGAAAACAAAATGCTAAACTATTATATACAGATTATTGTTTTCCTAAGAAAGAAAAGTGGGCTAATACATTTTGAATCTGTTGCTAAATATAATAGTTAAATATTTTGTGTTTGGTCATTAGTAAACCAAAAGATCCAATTAGCTGGCACACAGCTATTTTAAACATTCTATCCACTTGTTAGGTATGTTTTTGAACATTGATGGATTTGCAGATGGGATAAATCAGTTCTCATCAAAATGGCTGGTTACACAAAATAAGTGTTAGAGTGTGGAGTCCTCTGGTAGTCATAGAGTACTGATCACATAGAACCTCTGCAGAGTGAGGCATTGATCTACGGGTACAGCTGTATGATTATTAGAAATATCTATGAATTTACTATTACTTAGCTTCAATTTCTGTGGCTTATACAAGGCACATAGTGAGATTTTATCAATTACATTATTTGATTTAGAACAAAACTAACAAACCCAAATAATTAGCTAGCATCTAAAGATTTTATAGAGTTAGAAGTGACTCTATTGAGGATGAAAGGAGTTATCTAACTATCCCAGGATCCATTTCTATAAGGACTGTCCTAAATCACTTAACTTTCCAATTCTCTAGTAGATCAGTTCTAGGTTGTTTTTGAGAAGATATTTAAATTCCAAATTTCTGCCCATTTAATTGGAAATAGAAATATTGTATCTGAGAAAACTATTGCAGTTTTGAAAAAGCTTTTTTTTGTTGTTTGACCAAACATCTTGTACGTTTTTTTCCTTTTAATTTGCCTACCATATCAGAAGTGGATATTAGTCAAATTTAGGTTTTTTTTTTTTTTGGGAGGGGGTGGGATTGGGGTTTGAATTGAAGACTTCATGCTTGCAAAGCAGGCATTCTACCACTTGAACCAGGCTTCCAGTCCACTTTGCTCTGGTTATTTTGAAGATGGGATCTTGCAAACTATTTGCTTGGGTTGGTCTGGAACTGCCATAGTCCTCCTGATCTCATCCTCACAAGTAGCTAGGATTACTGGTGTGAGCTACCAGCACCTAGCCAAATTTAGTATTTTGGCTCTCTTAAGGTAGTATTTGAGACTTTTAGCCCAAAGTTTTATATTTGCACATGTCACTCTGTCACATGATCTTAGGTTATCTTCATGAGTGCTAACTTGAGAATCAAAAGGTATTTTTGAAAACTAGATGACAAGCTGAGGATTCATAGATGTTCCTACTTCTCCATAGGTTTAGTGAGCAGTGAACTGACTCATGGAACCCAGGTGTTTGTATTTCTTTCTGGGTTGCTCATGTTTTGTCATCCATCATGTGCTCTCTAACATTAACAGGGCATGTAGGCTATGAGAAAATACAGATATGGTCCCAAAACTTTATGAAAAATGTACCTATATTATTAAGTAGTATTCTAACAGAATAGTGTATTTTGTTTCAGAAACTGCTATCAACATTGGTTATGCCTGCAACATGTTGACTGACGACATGAATGATGTGTTTGTGATAACAGGGAACACTGCAGTAGAAGTGAGAGAAGAACTCAGGTAAGTGTTGAAGGAAGGAGGAGAAAAAGGAAGATCAGGCAGTTGGAAAAGTAGAAGTGTATGCTATCATTTCCTGTGTTCCTCACTTAGTATAGAGCTCTCTGCGTACTTTCTAAACTCTCATTCATTTTGGTGACGAACTAAGTTTGATATCAGCAGTGAATATTTGTCTTCAGGCCTCTACCATTTTCAAGTGTTTTTAGAAAAGAACTTCAAGTCATTTATGCTAAGTTGTCCTTTAAAGTTGTGTTTTGGTGAGTACCTGCTAGCTCTGAAGTGGTGATGAGTGAGAAGTAAAAACACCAGTTCCCTGGCTTCATTCCAACCTTACATAGTAAGAGTCTCCAAAGGGATGGACATGGCAATTTGTGTTTAATAAGCATGTGAAGTTTGTATCAGACAAATTTAGAAAAACACAGCTATAGTAGATGTCATGTGAAGTTGAAATAGAGCCTCAAAGAACACTGAAAATCCACATAATTATTTCCTTTTAAATTGAAAAAAGGCTGTCTTATGAAAAATTTGCTTGGTGCTGCTTGTAGTATCTTCTCTACACTCAACTTGCTGAAAAGAAAGGAAGTCAGTTGTCTGTATACCAACTGATACTTGTGGATCAAATCCCCATTGTCCCTGTGCTTACTCCAAGTAGAAAACTACTGTTCATCATGCTGGTTAGAAGCTGAGACTGGAGACTGCATATGTCTTTGCCAAATAAAAATTTGGAGATCTAATCAATGATTACTGATATAATTTGTTTTATATTTTATTCAATAATATGCTAAATTTATTTTTATTGGTGTTCATGACTTTCTGATAATTTTTATATAATGTTAATGACAGAATCCATAGAGCCTGTTGGGGACATTAATAATTGGTTTACTAAAATTTTGTCAATTACAAATTTTAATTTTAACAATATGGGGAAATTTCACTCTTACTGAAGAAAGGAAAGAAGAAGGACATTTTTATTTTAATGATCCAATTGCTAAATATCTTGAGACAATGCCTGGAACAGAACTGTACGCAGAATACATCTATTACTTCATTTCATTCTCAGAGTATGCATCACACACAGTAGGCATTACTATTATCACTGTTTTACAAATTAGGAAGTTAAGGTACGGACAGGGCAACTAATTTGCCAAAACAGATCAGTGGGTTTTGAGTTCCAGCAACCTATGTACCTGGTTACTCGCCCTAAACACACCCTTGATGTGTTCTTTCGCCCTTTGAAGAATTAATCTAAAGAATGTATTTGTCCAGGAACCTCACTGCTTCATTCAAGTGAGCAGTCAGACACCAGATTAGTAGCTAGAGTCAGAATGAATTTCTGGGGAAGACGGCAGGTAAAGGAAGAAGAGCATAGCATTCATATCCGTTAGACTCAGGTTGGAATCTAAGCTTCTTGCTCACTGTATGACTGGGAGCCTTTGGATAGGTTATTGAACCTCTCTCTGCCTATTTTCCTCATTTGTAAAATGGGAAATAAATAATATCCCATGGATTATTATATTTGGGGAATTAAATAAGAAGTTACAGCTTTCTGGCTGTTCATTGACCTTCCTTATTGTCTTCCTTGTTTGTTCTGCATTTCCTTCCCTCCCTTCCTTCAGACATTAATCCCAATCTTTCCACCAAAAAGGACTACTTTCATTAATATTTCCCCAGTAAGGGCAGTGAGCCTGGGACAGAGGGGAGGAAAAGAGTGGTATAAAATGATGCCAAAAGTAGAGTAGAAAGAAATGACCTTTTCTGCACACTCCCACCCCAAAATCTCTCCCATCCTAGGGGAGAGATTTTGAAGAGGAGCTCCTTGGAGGTAGAACAGAGAAAATTCAGAACTGGACTAGGCATGGGGAGAAGTAGAAGGAAACCTGGTCATTTCTAGCTTCTCTGACTTTCACAACCCGAATACCCTCGGGCAGGCAAGAACAGAAACTCATCAGATTTGCCAAAACTGATTTTGAACCCCTTTCTGCCTGGTGACAGAGCAATTAAACTGTGCACTTTCAGTGAAATTTAGTTCAAGTCCGGGACACAAAATTGCCTCACCTGTCACCGTTCATCAATATCTGCCCAGCTGGCGCCTAGCATTTCCCACTTGTTTGTCCCAGTCTCATCTCTGGGTTGCTGGCTTTCCCTTCTGGCTAACTTCCACACCAACCTAGGGAAACATGGAAAGAGTGGCTGTTCTTCCTTGTCTCTCTGTGTCTTAGAAGACTTGAGCTCTCACATGGTCACTTCAGTTCCTGAAATGTCTTTCCTCTACTACTCTCAATGCCACAGCACCTATGCCGGCAGCGGCAACTCCTACATACACAGAGTCTCAAATGTTTATCTGAGTTTCTCATTACCCACACAGTTCCTTCTTCTTTTAGCTCCTCTCTCTACTCTGCTCCTTATGACAAAACAGTATGCCCCAAGTCCTTTTAGAATTAGTCTTTTGAGACTTAAACACACTTTTTCTTTTCCTCTCACAAAGCTCAATAAGTGAAAATCTGGATGGCTGGAATTCAGAATGACAGTGCTGCTGTGAGTTTCTAGAGTCTATTTGGTGTTCAAAAAGCAAGAATTTGACTCCACCCCTCCTTCTGTTTTTGGCTCTGTGAGATCTCCTGAAGCAAGGCATGTTTCTGAGTAAATAGAGAGGGTCCCCTGTGGTCATGGCGGTGGTGGTTGGAAAAATAGTGGTTGAGTTCACATCTCAAGATTTTATTCAGCTACATTTGGTTGACTAAATAAATGACATAGTGTGATTATGTAGAAGAAATGTGGCGAAATGTGTATTGTTTATATACTGCTGTTGGAACCTTGTATTAGTCAGACTTTTTCATTACTGTGAACAAATTCTTAAGAGTACAACTTAAGTGAGGTAGAATTTTTTTTTGGCTCATGGTTTCAGTCCATCATGGCAGAGAGGTCTTGTTCAACTCATGGCAGTCAGAAAGTAGAATGGAAGAGTAACAAGAGGGGACCAGGGCAAGCTATAGCCCCCAAGGACATGTCCCCAGTCCAAACAGCCCCCACCTTCCATAGTTCCACCACCTCCCAATAGTCTAATCAGAGTTCGAATCCATCAATGAATTAAACCATTCGTTAAGCCAGAGCCTTCACGATCTTATAAGTTCTGGAAATGCCCACTGGTGTGCTTTGCTAATCGACTTTGCACTTCTCAATCCAATCTAGTTGACAATTATGATTAACCATTGCAAATCGTAAGTTGGTAGACTCTCTCTAGAGTGAAAACTGTCAATATATTTCCAAATTGCTTACATGCATACTTTTGACCCAGTGATCCCTGCTTCTAGGAATTTCCCTTAAGAAAATAAGTTAACAAGTGTATGAGAATGTATATGTGGAATATTTATTGCTTTATCAGGTATGGTAATGGAAACACACATGTATACAGAGAGAGAGAGACAGAGAGAGATAGACAGACAGACAGATGTGATGGAATACTATATAGTCAATAAAAGTGTTTATGCACTTATTGACTTTGGAAGATGTCCACAATATATTTGGTAAGTGAAAAATGAGATTACAAAACATCATGCATATTATGATCCATTTTTTTGCAAAAAAGTGTATATGTACATATATACCTTATACATCTATCCACCTAACTATCAAGCACTGGAAAAGATGCAGTGGCTCTCCCTGGATGATAGAATACAATTATACATCATGCTTATTTTCTTCTTTAAGGTTCTTTGTATTATTTGAAGTTGTGGTAGGTCTCATGCCAAGCTTTTACCATTAGAAGAAAACTAAAAAAAAAAAAAAATCTATCTATCTATCTATCTATCTATCTATCTATCTATATATATTCAGAAGGGAAAAAGTAAAGAATTTCCAGCTAGACTCAATATTTCACAACCCTTGAATTCACCTTGCTCAGCTGAGTGGCAGACAATGTTTATTTTGAACTAAACTTGGAGGTTAGCCCTATTCTTTAAGACAGAGAGAAATGTATGATAGAAAAATCTATGTTAGAGGAATCAATACACTTATAGTATGTATTTGCTTAATATTAGGATTGGGTGGGGGGAGAGGAACAAAAAGCTATTTGCTCAAAGGTGCTTACCATACCCCTAATCTTGGTTATTTACATCTAAGTCCACAGCTTTGGGAATGAAATATTGAAATCATAAATTTGTACCATTCCATTTTCTTGTGTTATGCTTTTGAGTTCAGAGAAAGTTCATACAAAAAGAAGTGTATCAAAAGACCAGGATCTGAGTGATAGTAGCTATTGGAAGGAAATGACCTAAATGCTTATATTTAAACCTGTCACATGTGTTTAGATTATTTCATAAACATGGATATGTAATTTCCATACATATCACATATACAGCTTGTTTCAAATTTAGTGTCTTGAGACTATTTTAGACATTTGGAATCCTGGCTTCATTCTGCTGCCATAGCTGCTTTTAGTATTAAAGGCATGCCCAGAAATCCACAATTAAATCCTGTGATGGTTTTTCAGAAGATTCCTGCATTGATTGTATTTTACTAATATATATATCTTCTGTCCAAAGGAAAACAGACTGAGAATGTAATTTTGTTTGGTCTGGCAAGAGAACTCATTCTATATTTTGACGTTATAGTATTGATCACGTTTTGTTGTTAGAAAAACTCATTTACTTTAAACCAGGAATTGACTCTACTGCTTCCGAGAAGAGTTCTAATGATACATGTATAGGAATCGAAGATTCCTCTTTCATCAACAAAATATGCATTGGTATTTTTGAATGCCTTCTTACTTAGTAGAAAGTCATTTGCATGAGTGATCAGCTTAGCATTCTCAAATGAAAATGGCTCCATGGCTGGGCAGATAAGGTTAGTTAAGTGATCTGGGCTATTTATAAGACACCAGGCTTTCAGTGAAGGGGAATATAACATTGACCATAAATTCATATAAATTCTTTAAAACAGGGTACTGACCAAATAAAATGCTGCTTGGTCTTAATTCTCACTTTCTAGCTTACCCAGGCAAAATATTTGAGTAGGGTAAATTTGCTGTCATAAATCCCAACATTGTATAGCACTTAATCTTGAGATCTTCTAGTACACGGTGCTGCAACTGCCTGAGGTTTTGTAACTGGTATCTATTTTTACTGGTTGATGCCCCAGCCAGTCTGATTGGCTGGTCCCATTCCTCTACTTTCAGAATTGAATGTGTTACAAGTTTTTCAGGTAGTAAGGGATGGTGGAACTGGTGCTTGAAGTTAAATTTTCATGTACTTTCTTTCTTTCCCTACTATTAGCAGGCTAGTGCTATCTCTTTCACTGTCCCTCTGCCACTATATCTTAGTCCTACCTAATGACAGCCTGTGGATGACTCTATGGGTAAACCAGTTTAGTATGATAGACAAAGAACTAGAAATTTGAAGTCCTGGTTCTGACACTGACTCATCAAGTGGCCAGAAATCAGATAACAACTGTGGGTATCTGAACTGTCAGAGAGCCTAGGTCCCTGGGACCAAGCACACAGCTTTAGTCTTGGTATCAAAGTCCAAATTGTCTTCTTTTCAATATGGCATTATGATTTTAATCAACTTCCTCCCTATAGAGTGCCTTCAGACAAGTGACCAAATCAACTAGTTCTTCACATCTTTTTTCTTCTTTAGAAGTTGCATGCAAGCCAGCAAGGACTGTGCTTGTGATGATACTGGGCGGTGAATGCCATAGTCAACTCAACAATGAATGCGTTCTTGTGTGCCAGCATTGTTATAAACTGTCCTTCACTACAAAACTTGGAAAACACAGGCATTTTTTTGTTTTGGCATTTGTTATTTGTATTCTGTGGTTAAGCATTGTGTGTTATGCCTGCAAAAATGTATAGTTCATATTCATTGAAGGGACTTGTATGTGCAGCTCTTCCCCTCGCTCCTAATAAATTGTTCTTGCAAGAACTAGCTAGTGTTTGAAGAGCTAAGTTCCAGGAAGAAAAAAGAAATGACAGCTGTAGAATAACGGGTCTGACAACGTGAGTGTCCAATCTAGCAGGGAGTGATGGCCTGTTGACGAGAGGGCAGAGGGAATTTAAGCAGAGCTAGAAAAACTGTCCCTTTTCTGCCTGGAAAAGGGCTCATGTCAGATGTTAGGAAGACAGTTTAGGGGGGAAAATCTTAACTAAATAGAATTTCAGCCAATACTTTCATGAACTTCACCCTTCTTTGGAATGTTTTCATTCTCTGAGGGGAAAGCAGAAGTTGAGTCATTTATACAGCGAATGAGAACTTTACTGAAAAGAAACCTCCTGGTGATGCTTTAAGGCCCAATTTATGAGCTCAGCATTGTCAGAGAACTCTTCATTTCAAAGGAACTTGTCTCCATTGCTTTCTTCATTATATGGGACTGTAAATTTTCATGACCGAGGAGGAGTTCCTGACATGGTTATCTGCTGTGAAAGTCTGGTCCTCCCATCTAATATCTGTTCTCCCTCCCTCTCCCCACTGTAACTCTCTAAATTTCACACGTAGCACTCTGACTTTATAAATCTTTTTCTTTGGTTCTGCAAGCTTGTTGCTAAATATACAATATTATCTGTGGGGCCAAGAGCATATGAACGCTGGGCTCCTAAATGCAGGGCTGTGATTTTGGTTCTGTACAGCAGAAGGAGATGTTGAGCCAGAACATAAGGTGGTTAATTTTTGTTGTTGTTGTTGTTTTGTTATTTTGGTTTTTGCTTTTAAATTTAGTATGTAAACAATTAAATTTTCAAATAATGAGAAAGATGAAGGCTAAAATGCTTATTTTAATATGGTAGTCTTTCCCTTCTTGAAGAGGCACCTCAACTAAACCCATTTTAATAAATTTTTCTAATTGGTTGAGCCTTTAGAGAGCCAGGCTAGTTTGTTTTAAGCCAACATATCCACTTTGTAGTTTATATCTCACTTCCCATTCTCTTCTAGCCACTCATTTCATACCTGCAGTTGGCATGCAAGTGTAGGCAGCTGGTTTGGGCACCCATCTTCAGAGCATATCTGCTGGTAGGTCTCTGGTTGTGGTTGAAGCTTCTTTGGTCATGTCAGCTTGCCCTCATTTACTTCAAAGCCTGTCATCCTAGGGTCCCCACAGAGGGAATTTCCCTTCCATTAGAAGCTTCATCTTTTCATGATGAAGAGGATGGTAAAATGCCACTTCTAAGAATGCTATGTCACCATCTAGGCTTCTTCTTAAGCAGGAGTGACAGATGGGATGTGGACAAGATTCTTGTACAGCTATGTCTAATTAGAGCTAGAGCACTTGGAAGGAGTTCCTGTTTGGAACAATCCTCTACACTTGGGTGTCTGTTGTTTCTTTCCTATAAGATAAATTGTATTGTTTGAGCTGATATGTGCAATTGTTACATAAATATTACTTTATTATGACAAATAAATGCTGTCATTTGTGTTTATTGTCAAATTTCTTAAAAATGTGTTTCTCAGAATACTATTTTAAGCCAGATCATATTATATTATATCTCAAATTAATGAATTTATCATATATATGTGTATGTATTTATATATTGATGTATAAATGCAGATAGGTAGATAGCTAGATAGATAGAAAAATATTGATATGCACTGAAGTTTCTTTAGCTTTTTTGCTTTCCATTGTTTAACAACATTTCATGCTAAATCATGGTTCTCTAACCCTTATATACCAAACCTATCAAGATCCCCTAGTTAAGCGCAGCTCAAGATGGTGATTCACCTGTTAGATAATGTAAAATGTTCAAGATGATTCTGTTCTCATTATGTTTGCCCACTTATTTCCTGCAATTTAGAAATTTTCTCTGATCTCCCCATCACAAATTTTGAAGCTTACTTACTGAACCTGAGTTGTATGCATGCTCTGTCTGAATAGTGACAAAATGAATTTTGCCTCCAGGCCAGACTTTTGCTAGAGTTATAGATCTGTTATGTGTACTTTGTTATGGGTTTCTTCCCCCCTCTCCCTGTTCTTTAAGGAAAGCAAAGGAAAACCTGTTCAGACAAAGCAGGAGTTTTTCCAATGGCCATGTAGTTTGTGAAAAGAAGCAGCAGTTGGAGCTGGACTCGGTTGCAGAAGAAATCATGACAGGAGATTATGCCTTAGTCATAAATGGTCACAGTTTGGTGAGTTCCCTTCAGGCTCTTGTTCTTTCTTTTACTTTACCCCAATAATCATCTCTTTTGTGCTGTCATAATGAGAACTCTTTTTGTGTTTTTTTCAAACAAATGACAGTATGAGAAATAAGGCATACACAATGATTTCCTGTTTGCAAAGGGAAAGGAAACTTCTAATATATATTTCATGCATTATTGTTTGAACCATCACAGTGAAAAGGAGGCTCTGAAGAAATACTGCCTTCACAGAAGATCAATCTTGTCTAAATGACTGTAGACCTTTTAGCAGTATTATTTAAGTGTTTTTCCAAGGGCTCTGTAGTGTCACAGCTCAGTGTTATTTAATTAAAGTAATGCAAGTGGACGGATAAATTGCAATTATTGCTCTTGCTAGTGTTTGTGATTTGCAGAGCAAAACCTGACCTTCATATAATTACCACACCAAATTATTGCCATTAAGATACCTCTGGTGGTTTTTCTAAATAGCAGCATTTTGCAGCAATGCCAAATAATTTGCTTTGATTAGGAAATCTGGTTCTTGTCATAATAGAATAAACTTACATTGTACTTTTAATGTAGTTCAGGTTCCAAGACTTGAACAAAAATCAAAACGTTCCTCTGAGTTTCTAATTTAGAATACAAAAGCTCCGATTGCACTCTAGTGAAATGATCATTTATATGCACAAAGAAGTAATCTCCCATCTTTCTTTGGCTTTGATGATCATTTTTCACTTTAGAGTTTGGAAAATAAATGCTGCTTCTTGTAGAAAGTTTCTTAGAGGACAAAAGAAGTTGGATATGAGTGTATTGTATTTCCCTGTTGTGATCATCTGTCTGCTAGCTCTTAGTGCTTAGAGCATTATCCAGCTGGATTCCAGACGTAATGATGTGTTGCCTTCTGCACCATGGAAAGTTACAGAGCTCGGTTGCAGGCCAAGTTCAGTCGAAAGTTTGTCCAGATGACACGAACTTCTCCCTCGCACAGATGAACAGCAACTGAAAATTATAAGGTTGTCAGCTGGGACTTAGAGCTGGTGGCCTCCGAGCTGAGCTGCCCAGGGACCATAATATGGAAAGGGGCCCTAATGGGTTTTGCTTTGACTTTCTCTCAGGCTCAGAGAAGCCAAAGTGTGGTAGGGTGAGAGTACTCAGGTGATAAATTATACCATCTCTCTGTCTCTCTCTCTGTCTCTCTGTCTCTCTCTCTCAATTTGCTGAAAGAAGGAGCTAAGATAGATGCTCCTTAGGATCTATTTAGCTTCAAAGCTTGATGCTCACGAAACCGTGAAATGTCATTTTTAATTTAAGGGAATTGACTATGTTTTTGTTAGTACGATCAGAAGCTTTTTGTTTTGCTTTGTTTTAAATCATGATTTCAATTTGCTCAAATCTTGCTGCTTTGACATGTAATTTAGCCTCTTTCTCAGGTCTGAGTATAGTTTTTTCTTTTTTAAACTTATTGATACTAAAGAAAACAGAATAGGGAGAAAGGGGACCATTCTGAGTAAAACAGCCAATTGCATGCTTTCTCTTTCAGAAAGTGTTTTGTATTTGAGAAGGCTGAATCACAATTTCCTCTAGGAATTATAGACTTGGATATGAGAATATTCTAAGGTATATTTTTGTATTTATCCACCCATTGGTACCATTATCGTTGATTAAATATGTCCAGGTTTGGGAGATTGCTATCTAGGGGTATGCTTTGAGAGCAGAGAGGCAGACACATTTACCTCCTTGTAGAGAAATCAGGAAAGGTTTTCTGGAGTAAGTAATGTTTAAAAATATAGATGACAGCATGTACAAAGGCACAGAGGCAAGAAACCCCTTCTAAATCATGGGAAATAAAAATAAAGAGTGGACTTAAAGGTGCTGGGAGAAGATAAAACTCAAAAGGAATGTATAGGTCAGATTGTAATGGACTGCAGATGTCTTGTTTTAGCTAAAGATTCACTCAAAAATACTTATGTCTCAAACTTTAAGTGGATTCCTGCTTCTTCTTAATTTCTTTATTAAAGAATGTACAATGGAATGTTTTCTAGGAAAAGAATTGCATGGTTAATTGGAAAGAACTATGGCCTCTTTTTCAGTATTTTCTTAGCATATCTAAGACTCTTATGTATTTAGATATGAGGAAGGGTGGAAATGGTTGGGGAAATGTGTTTGAGTTGCATGACTCTCTTTTGCACAGGGCTCTCCTGGTTTCCATCACAATGATCTTTAAGGACCCATCTCTAGATCATCTGCTTTGTATCTTGTCTACACATTGATAAGCACAACATCAAACACAAAATATATTAAACAATAATGCAAAGGAAGCAAAAAGCCCATCTCAGAGAATAAGCAAATCACTGTATTTGTAACATTCTAAACTTGGTAAGATGGTGGTTAGGTTTTGTCTTTTGCTTTTAATAATTTTAGTAGTTTCTAGAATTTCTGTAGCATTTAACTGTGTCTTACCAATGCAGCATGGAAAAATATCAAAGAAGACACACCAGGAAGGGTAATGTCTTTGATTTTTATTTTAAAATTCCTTGGCACTTACTAGGAATTCAATACTCTTTTCTTTATTTTTTGTTGCTGTGGCTTTTGACCCTGAATCAACAATGACTTGTTGAAGCGAATGAAATGGTTTAGAGAAGTCAATTATTTTATTTGCTTCACAAATTACAGCTGTCATTTATTGTTAGCCATTATTTTCTGGATTTTTTATTAAATAACACAGGCTCATGCCCTAGAAAGTGATGTCAAGAATGATCTCTTAGAGCTTGCCTGCATGTGTAAGACTGTGGTTTGCTGCAGAGTCACCCCACTCCAGAAAGCCCAAGTAGTAGAACTGGTGAAAAAGCACAAGAATGCTGTGACTTTGGCCATCGGTGATGGAGCCAATGATGTCAGCATGATTAAAAGTAAGAACATATTCACTCTGTGGGGCATGCTACATAGATAATAGATATTGCATTAATAGTTTTTGTCATGATTCTTAAAGAAATGATACTTTCTGGGTCTAATGCTTCTGCCATAATTAGCAATCATAAGATGGGGGGGGTTGGTTTAATTAAATTGTTTGCATATTTTTAGGCTAGAAAATGACATTGTTTACTTTATACTGTTTGGGACTGTAAGTAACATTTGGATGAAAGTATACCAGAGCCACATTTGCAACAGTTGGGTTTATCCCCATCTTTGCAACTTACAAATTGTGAAACCTCATGAAAGTTACTGAATTTTTCTGAGCCCCATTTCCTTCTTATGTAACACTAAGATAAATCCCTAACTATTATAAGTATGCCATAAGTTAATACATGAGAATATAGTTGTAGTTATAAGATTTCAATAAATGGATGACATAAAAGAGGAACAGCAAGTTCCCAAAAGATATTGTGTCTTTGTTTTGGGAATGAAAGTGTTCCTTTTTTCCTTTGTAGGTGCTCACATCGGTGTTGGCATTAGTGGCCAGGAAGGATTGCAAGCTGTCTTAGCCAGTGACTATTCCTTTGCACAGTTTAGATATCTCCAGAGGCTTCTCCTTGTTCATGGGAGGTGGTCCTATTTCCGAATGTGCAAATTCTTGTGCTATTTTTTCTATAAGAATTTTGCATTTACACTTGTGCATTTCTGGTTTGGATTCTTCTGTGGTTTCTCTGCCCAGGTTGGTAAAAAGCACTTTTGTTTCTCTGTAATATCCCATGAATGACAAATGACTCTTCTTTGTAGCTCTTTACTAATAAAGAGCATTTTTATATGCTGGACACAAGTGACAGTACTATAATTATGTAATTGATAATTGACTCAAGCTTTAAATCTAGTTTAAGAAGAATATATGTTTAGTTGTTTGAATTTTATGTATTTATTTTCTTATTTACATTGTAACAAATGAGTAATCCTTCCACTTACCTTTTAGTTTGTATTGAAATGTTTTAGTGTGGTGGCAAGTGAGCTTGATAAAGAATTTTAATTTTAAACTGAAAACTGAAGCACGCTAATAAGAAATGTTGAAGTATCTTTTATGGGAAGACAGTTAATCACTTAATACACTGAATATATATGGACTGAGAGTAAATATGTTTTACATCAGGGAGAGGTAACTGATACCCTGAGATCAAAGCTGTTTTGGCAGCAACAACTCTCCAGCTAAAAGTTGATCTACAGATAATATTGGTAGCAAGTAAATAAACTTAGCAAATTAAAAATTAGGATTCTATTTTTATGTCTACAAATGGATAACAACTTAATTTTGATCATATACACAAAATCTACACATTTGACTCCCTTCACATTTTATTATTTTGATGTCATACTTTACATCTCTTTATAATTTATGTCCCTTAACAAATTATTGTGGGTTTAGTTGTCTTCAATAGTTTTGTCTCTTAACCTTTGTTCTAGAATACAATTATATATTGATTTAACTACCACCATTACAGTATTAGAGTGTTTTGGATTTGACAATGTGCTTACTCTTTCTTATGGGTGTTAATACTTTCATAGGTTTTCATGTTTCTAATGAGATCTCCTTTTTGCTTGAAGAACTCTTCAGCATTTCTTGTAAGGCAGGTCTAGTGGTGATAAACTCAGCTTTTGTTTGGGAAATTCTTTATCACCTCTTCATTTTTGAAAGACAAAGTTACTGGGTATAATATTCTTGCTTGATAAGTTTTGTCTTTCTGCATTCTGAACATATTCTAATTCCTTCTAGTCTTGAAGGTTTCTGCTAAGGAATCTACTCATAGTTCAGTGGGGTCCCCCATACATGATGACTCACTTTCCCCTGTTGGTTTCAACAGTCTTTTAAACTTTTCCTCCACTTTGGTTTTATTGTTTTTTTGTTCCCTAAACCCAGGGCCTCATGCATGCTAAGCATGTGCTCTGCTGCTGAGCTGTACCTCCAACCTTGTCTTTAACTTTTGACAATTTGAATGTGATGTGTCTTGGTGTAGATCTCTTTGGGTTCATCTTAGTTGGGATTCCTGTATCTGACTCTCTATTTCCTTCCCCAGGGATAGGAAGTTCTCTGCTATCATTTCTTTGAATTTGTTTTCTGTCCCTTTTTTCCTTCTCCTTCTGGCATACTACTGATGCATAAGTTGTTCTGTATGATGCTGTTGCCTGTCTCAACCTATCTCCAGTCTTTTTAAATTCTTTTTTTTTACTCTTGCTCCTCAGATTGGGTAACTGATTTCTAGTAACCTGTTTTTTAATTCACTGCTTAGGTTCTATGATTTCTGCTTGGTATGTTTATATCCTTTCTTTTTGTTGACATTTTCAGTTTTCATTGCTCTTACATTGTTCTTCTGACCTCAGTGAACACTTTTATAGCCATTATTTTGAATTCTCTGTCAGATAAGTCACATATCTCTACTTCACTCAGGTCAATTTCTAGAGATCTACTCATTCTTTTATTTGGCATATATTCCCTTATTTCTTCATTTTGTTTGACTCTCAATGTTGGTTTCTGCATATTAGATAAGACTATTTTGTCAGACTGGCCTCATGTAGGAGAGAGGTCTCACCAACCATCCAGCTGGAAATTTTAAGATGCCTTCCAAATCATTGTTTGTCTAGACTGCTGTCTCTATTACTGATGCTCCCGAGAGATTCAGATGGGCCAAGCCCTGTCAATACCCTTCTCTGTACCCTGCCAGGTTTTCTAGATGCAACTGAAAAGGCTGAGATATTGGATGTTTGTTCTAGTTCCTTCTTTCTTCATAGTGAAGCTGAGCCTGGGCACAAGCATTTATTTCCTTCTTTTTCTACACTGAGTGAGGCAGGGGATCTGTGGCAAATGCCTGTCCTTATGTTCAGGCTTACACCCTCCACTCCCAGGGAGATCACTGATGGAAGTGGCCCTTTGTACATCCTCTTTGTTTCTGTGGTCTAGGTTCACTCAGAAATACACAGCCTCATTGACCCTTAGGGTTAGATTATTAAAGAGACAGTCTCTTGTGTGGGTGCTATAGGAGTTATAGCATGCAGTATGTAGACACATTCATTCCAGAAAGATTGGGTAGCCTGGTTTTATGACTAGGGTGAACTGGAGGAAGGAAATACCAAGCTGGCTCTGGCAGCTGAAAGTGTATTGCTTATTTGTCCTGTTAGATAGCATGTGCCATAGGCCCCTTCCACAGAGAAAATGGGTGCTGCATATCTCCACCCATTTTCTACATTGCTCCAAATGGATGTAGCTCTTAAAGTACTTTCCCATTTAAAACCACCACTTTGTTCTGTGATCTAGCAAGACTTGTATATGCCTACTTCCTTCCATTCCCAGAGCTAAGAATTTTAGGATAGGGTCCTTTAGGAGGTAACTGTTAATGTTGTCACTTGATATATGACATAAACTCACTTCTGGGGAGAAGCAAGACTTATATGTTTAAGGTACCTTCTCTGTACTACTCCTAGGGGATGAACCCCCTTGTGCATGTGTATAAAATCATGCTTTCCCCTGTGGTCTAGACAGACATTCATGTGTTTAATACCCTTGACTCCCAGGGTTAAGGTACTCTATGTGAGGTCCAAATCTGCTTCTTCACAGAGTATTGGGATTTTTTTCATGATGTTGTGGCATAAGCTCAGGGAACAGTCCACACCTTAGTATGACTTATCTTTTCTTCCTTGTTTGATGGGAATGTTTTCTTGCTGTCTGATAAGTAGAAGTCTTTGACTTTCTCTCAGAGGGATTGATCCATAAATAAATGTGGAGCATCCATGGGTGGGGAGCCAGGAGCTCCTATTCCACCATATTGTACTTGTCAATCTCACATCCATTTGAAAGGATAGTTAATTAACCCTACATTTTAGGTATCAGAAAGTTTTGACCTGAGTGTCAACTGTGAAATGTAAGAGCTATAACATTTAAAATATAGTTATAAATTAAAATAATTTTTATAAAAATCTTGAATGTAGGTATGATATGGCAATAATATTTTGAATAATGACAACAAAAGTAAAAGATTATTTGAGAATAAAATGATAGCCATAATTCTCTGGGACCTGACTTCTTACTTTTTGAGTCTAATTAATAACACAGGTTTCAGTGATATCCATGAAGCTAATTTAAAAAAAAATTATTGTACTGAGTTACACTGTTATATTTACAAAAGTGCTTACAATATATCATAGTTGAATTCACCCTCTCCATCACCCTCCTTTATCCCCTCTTCCCCCTATTCCTGGAATAGTTTCAACAGGGTCATTTTTCTGTTTTCATACATGAGTGCATTATATTTCTACCACTTTCATCCTCCTACACCCTTTCCTTATATCCTCCCCTCTCTCACTAGTACCAACCTTCCCCCCAGACAGGACCTGTTTTACCTTCCTGTTCTCCATTATTAAAAAAAGATATTTTTGTTTGTTTAAGATAGGGAGTTTCATTGTGATATTTCCATGTACACATGTATTGTAACTCAAATTGGTTCATCCCTTCTATTTTCTCCTTTCCATCTTAGTCCCCTTCTTATAGTGATTTCAACAGATTTAAAAAACCTACATTCATTCTCGTATAGAAAGTGCATCAACCATATTCATGGTCTTAACTTCCTTCTCTCACCCTCCCTCTGCCATTAGTGACCTCTTCTTAGTGTGACCTGTTTTTCATAATACTGCTTTACTCATATTAGGCCTAAATTCCACATATGAGAGAAAACATGTGGCCTATGACTTTCTGAACCTGGCTAATTTAATGAAGGTAAATTTTAAAATCATTTTTTTCCAAAAAGACCAAGTATGAATTACATCTTGTCATTTTTAATGTGTCTAGGGAGACTAGTGAAAACTTTCTGTAGTGAAAATATGTTTTGGACATTTTCCCTTTTTCTGGGAAGCTGAGATTCCTTTACGTAGGGGCATGTCTATAACCATTCTTAATTTTCTTCTTTAAGGATAAGCCTAGAACTCAAAGACTATGTGGATATCTTTTTCCTTCTTGGTAATTATCTCTTAATAGCTGGGTTAAAGTGAAGTCTTGATTTTAACTTCTCAGAATAGAAGTTATCTAGTGCTACATCAGAGCAGGCATGGGGCTGGGATATTTACTTGATTACAATTCCACCATTTTCCAGCAAAGACAGGCACAGTGGTATGACCCGTACCTTCCCAGACTAATGATTTTCCCTCCACATAACAAAGCAAGGCTATTTGTCAAGGAGTATTTCTGAAGGGTTGAATTTACATATTCTAAAGGTTTAGGACTATGGATTCACAAAACTTGGAATGGGATTGTTTAAACTTCATTTAAACAGAAGAGTAGTAAAAGATTTGTACTTGCAAACACACTAATCTTGTATAGGCAAATTCACTGCAAAATTGCCTTTGTTAAAACTCTGAAGATGACATGAAGAAGAACGAAATCTTATCATTCGCAAGTAAATGGATGGAATTGGAGAACATCATTCTGAGCAAGGTTAGCCAGGCTCAGAAGACCAAAAATTGTATGTTCTCTCTCATATGCAGACTTTAGATCTAGGGCAAATGCAGTAATGTGGTGGGCTTGGGTCCCATGATAAGGGGAGAGCACATACGGGAGGTATGGGGATAGCTAAGAAACCCAAAACATGAAAGTGTTTGATGTCCCCACTGCAGAGGAACTAATACAGAAACCTTAAAGCGACAGAGGTCAACACGAGAAGGGGATCAGGAACTAGTGAAAAGGTCAGTTTGAAATGAATCAATTTGGGATGTAACACATTTGTACATGGAAGCAATGCTAGGAATCTCTCTGTATAGCTATCCTTATCTCAATTAACAAAAAAGCTTGCTTTCTTATTATTGCTTATGTTTTCTCTTCAACAAAATTAGAGATAAGGGCACAACAGATTCTGGCTGGAAGCAAGGGAGGGTTGGGGGGAGAGGGAGGGGACAGAGGGTGGGGGTGGGGGGAGAGAAATGGCCCAAACAATATATGCACATGTGAATAAATGAATTTAAAAAAAAAACAACTCTGAAGCTGAAAGTAATGTTCTTTGACTTTTAACCTAGACATCTAGGTTATTTCTGCTTTGCTTTCAGGATCTGATAAAGTTGGTCAGAGTCAGATGTTAAGCAACTAGATTTTTAACCCTCTCATCAGCATTTACATTTTAAAAGAGAACAGCAAGGGAGAACAATAATTACTCCAAAGATATGAATATCCAACAGCTGAATGCCATTATAAGACACACCACCTGTCTGTGATAGCATGTTCCTTTTCTGTGTTTCTTTCTCTTGTTTTTTTTTTTTAACCTCCAAAAACTCTAGCTAATTGTGCAATCTTTATTTTGCTTCTGTTGTCAGTCTTGATGGACCCTACTCTTTCCCTTGCTGGTAAGCTGGCCTGGACCAGAGGTTCTCAAG